CGAGATCATCGCTGTCGATTGAAACTCTGTCGCGGCGCGAGTAACAGCTTGCTTGAAATGCCGGAGAATTCAGCGGAATCGAAATCGAATCGAGAGAAGGGAGAACCTGAAGAATCTATAGGCCGACGCGGAACCGGTTGATAACTCAGCGGGATTCGCGACGAGAACACTGGAGGAACCGCGACGAAATCGTGGAGAATCGTGCGATTGGCCCGGAGTCTTGCGAGCCACTGAAGCACCGGAGCCAGAGACCGCTCGAAACGCGCTCGAGACCGCTCGCTGGAGTCGGCGTGCACGCCGCGAGCACGCGCACCGTGTCTCGTGTCTTCTACTTCGCTGATAACTCGTGATTCCCGCGAACCTTTCCGCCTCGGCCCGCAGAACCACTCCGCGCTATCCTGAATCGCATTCGCGGAATATTTATATATTTGTGGGTCACGTCTCCTCTGCCAGGCCCGGTCTTCGTCCGGAGGATCGTTCTTTTCTCTTTCGCGTTGCTCCTTTTCTACCTTCCCTCGGAAATCCAGCTGGTCTCGAGGATGTATTTCGAGCCTCGGTCGTTCCTCCTATCAATTCTACACGTTTCTCCATCCTTCCAAATGCGTTCTGTACTTCAATACAATTCCGTTCGGAACAATTAATTGAACTCCGTTCTCAACATCGATTGAATTATGTTCTCGGCATCGATCGAACGGCAATTCGATTCTGCTCCGCGCATCAATTTAATTATGTTCCGAACATCGATTTGACCCTTTTGCACTCGAGCGACGACTCTGAGGCGCCGCTGAAAATTTTTCATTGCGTCAAGCGTTCCAAAATCGTTTGTACAATTATCAGAATTGCCGACATTGTTGCGGAAACTGTTGAAAGAGTAATTCTTATTTGAGTCGCAAGACATAATTTCGCGTGCATACGAAGCACCGAGTCTTGTGGAATAGAAATACTGTAAGTCGGAGAAGCTGTATTGAATTTACAGTTAGAACGGCTTCGAGTGCAGGGTGCTAATTGCGATCATCCCGTCGTCGTCGTCGTCGTGCGGATAACTTCTGCGAACTGGACTTCTTCGACCGTGCCATTAGAGGTGTATCGTTGCAGTGACACCGATTACTCCGAACCAGTACCTCGTTATCTGTTATCTTATGCCCACGGTCTATTTACCCGTTCATTAATAATAGTCGTCAACAGTCGTTTATATGGCGCGCAATTACAATATTTGCTTTGCAAATTCGCGGTGCGCCGAAGCGGTGGCATCCTTCGAGACTTTGCTGCGCAGAGTTCTCGGCTGATTATCACCTGAACGATCGCGCGGGAAAAAGGACGAACAGAAATCCCAGCTAAGCCGGAACAAGCGATTAGTTCTGTTTTTAGCTTCCATGAGAGTTGTTCCGTCGAAATTATTCGCGCCGTTCTATCAGCCGCCGCGACCTTCTCTAAACGGCGACGGACACGGACATTTTTAAGGAAGGATACCCCCAAGAGCTCCAAGGATATCGACAAAACCGCGATAGCAATCGGGCCGGAGTTTTTCGAAGCTGATGCCGAAAGGTCGAAGGGATCGTGATCGCCCGCGATGGATCGCGTTAGATCCCGCGAGGCGATACGCTCGCGGTTCGAAAGGTCGCGATCCGTATACGGACACGCGCTGGCACCGAGTCATTTTCACGGACGATTCCTCGGCGATCCTGTCGCTATCGGCCGCGCGCGACGAGTCGCGTGAAGCGAAACCAGCCCGCAGGCACGAACTTCGCGGAATCGATTTCAAGTACATCCCACAGTCGCGCCTTTGTCTAAAAAATTGGCCGAAATGCAGTTTTCGAAGTGTAATATATAGCTGCCGAAAACTGCTATAGTACATATGTACAATATTCAATATAATGTACGATATATATTTAGTATTGAAAGCCGATCTTTTTAATGTCGTAAATAGTTACAGAAATATAGATAGTCGAAAATGACGAATTTTCGTGCTTCGTAATATCTTCAAGTTGGTAACTTCTTCAACGGATCAAGCTAAAGTTCATCTTTAACACTAGATTTACGGAACCCGTCAAAATGGCGGGTCACTAATTTTTTAATTTGCCATTATTCATATCGTAAAAATACATTTACGAGTTATTTATTCAATTTATATGATAAAAATGTTAGAATAATGTTACAATAACACTTGTTATAATACCACAAATGTTACAATAACACTTGTTACAATAACACTTGTTACAATAACACAAATGTTACAATAACACAAATGTTACAATAACACAAATGTTACAATAACACAAATGTAACAATAACACTTGTTAAAAATCAGAATAAATGTCCTATTGTTACTTTTATAAACAGCTGTTTTTTTGTGCTCCGTAAATTCAGTGTTAAAGAAACCCCATTTGTAGAACATTTCTTCTAAATGGAACAAAAAATTGTCTCGGCCTGTCAGACAAATAATTAAGAACGAAGAAGCGCCGATCAACAGAGCAGTGACAGATATTGCAGTGCAAGGGGTTAAGTCTTGTACCTGCCCCCACAATACGTCCTAACTCGTTGTGATATTGTAATCACAATAATAATCACTCTCTTATCCGAACATTTATTTTTACAATATTCTGCTATCGATACGTCCCATAATCATTGTAGTATTTAGATACACTATCGCCCTAGAGAACTTGAATGAAAATTTTAGATAATAGAATGTTTATAGAATGTTATCCTGATAACTCAGGATATGACAAAAGTAAAACTTCGGATAAGTGAGTCTCTGGAGTATAACGGTAGAGAAAAAGTTGAGATGATATATCGAAAGATCTGCTCTAACGAGACTCATCAGTTCAGGTGAGACGCCGACAACGACGTCCGATCGAAAAATTTAGCGTCAAGCAGTGTCCAACGACGTACTTCATGAACAACGTTAAAGACGTTGAAATTTTATATTCTAAATATACGTAAAATTATAGCCAAATATCGGAGAATGATTGATCCTCGCAAGAAATAAGATAAGGTCTGATTTTTCATGGACCTTAATATCTAAATTCAGCAACCACAAAAATATAAGAGCGTCGATTTTCATAAAAATCGTACGAAATTACGAAACAACGGCCAACATTTTGAAAAAAGGTGTCATCGTGCGTCCCTGTACGCGGCTCGGCCCCCCTCCCCCCCGATTCGGCTGGAATCATCGGCGCCGTTTCCTCGCGGAATTTCTTTGCTAGATAAATTCGCGTCAACTCGAGGCGTACTTGACCGAATTACCGGCTCCGCTCGCGGCGAGTCTGCTGCCTTTCCGCGGAAGCGGGCGCCCTCGGTGCTTCCTTCTGCTTCGAGAAGTTCGACCTTTCTCGGTCGCCTTGTGCCCGACTAACAGCGCCCGATTTTTCTTTGTCCACTGGCGATTCGTTATCGGAACCGGCTGAAAAGCATTCTCCCTATCCGAGAACCGCGGATGAGGTCGGAACAGTGACAAAGAGTCGTAAAATCGTATCTTATCGCGCTCGGGGGAGATCTCCGGTCGTTGACTGCCCTTTTTCCCCGGTCCCCCGACAGTTTCGAGAGTCGCGGCTCGTCGGGGAGTCTTCGATTCGCGCGGCGAACTTCGGATTAGAGGCGTGGGCGGTCGTTTCCTTTTGGAAAGGAGCCGCGGTAATTGGCACCGGTCTGGAGCCGCAGCCTTGACTCGGTTGCCTTAATAAGAAGCGCCGAATAAGAGATCTATGGCCGACCTCCCCCGGTCGCGATCGTGAATCACAATTCAGGACGAGTTCGCTAACAGGTGGTTTCGAGGCTTAGCCGAAGGACCCCGCTCGTTTCGCAACTGGACGATGATTTCGTCGGAGGACCGTGCAATTTCAACGGGAACGATCCTGCACGAACGTTCTCGATCGGAAGACGCGTCTAGATTCGTCGAGGGTGCGTTCGTTCTAACACCGATTCCTCGAAACGCGCCTGCGAAAATGCAGACCTCGGTGGTCTGGCAACGACATCGAGAGCTGCCGCGAGATTCGCGGCACTGCTGGCGCGAGAATTGAAGTTTTAACCCTTAGCGCTCCACGCGTTTCTCGAGTACTATCTTCCAGAAACTCCGGCACATTTTTGGAGCAAAGCGCCCGAGATAAAGGAAGTCTTATTTTGAGCGGAAAAGATTACACGTACTTGCGAAAGCGTTTGATTTGATTCATTTTATGTTGCTAAGTATAAAAATGGGCAAACAATGTTTTAATCGTAATGGTATCTACTTAACATTGTGCGAGGTCGGTGCATCGACATCGTGAATCGTGAACGAAATTTCCAAGCAGCAAATGCATCCTCATCGAAATGGGTAAAATTACTATCAATGATATTCTTCACAATTCTTAAATGAATATATCCCTCGTGTTCTTCGACGCGATTTATTATAAAATTAGCATCGCGAATCGTCCGTTGAATTCTGTTTGCATACGGAATTATCGAAACAAAAATATCTTTCGCGTGAGTTTGCCGGAATTTTTTTATCGTTAATCTTCGCTGGAATCGACTCGATTAATAATTAAATTAAATTAAAAATTAGTAAATATTCTTCGGACGTTCTAAAATAAAGTTGAACAGCGTTTTTCTGAAAAATATCGCTACCAGCAATTCCGGCACATTTTTGGAGCAAAGCACCCGAGATAAAGGAAGCCTTATTTTGAGCGGAAAAGATTACGCGTCCTTGCGAAAGCGTTTGATTTTATTCATTTCATGTTGCTAAGTATAAAAATGGGCAAAAAAATGTTTTAATCGTAATGGTATTACGCTAAGCACGTTTTCACTACAAATAACAATTGCCAACGTCGACAGAAACAAAGCATCTTCGGTGTAATCATGCTAAAAGCATTGAGCTCCGCAGCAGAGCCTTGGGATTTACGGAACAAATGACGGATGTCTCCATAGCGGAGCCAACGGAGCGCTAAGGGTTAAAGTATCGGTAGCGTCGATTCGACGAGTACTTTAAAGTAAAAAAGTTGGGCGAAGTTCGAGGATCGCGATCTACGTACCAGCACGGAAGATCTCTCCGCATCCATCGCAGCGGCTGGCGAATTGGGCGTCGTAGCAGTTGCCGCAGTAGATCTTGTCCACCTTGCTACCGAACTGTTTGTCCACCAAGGACACCCTGCACCTGTTGCAGAGGAAGCAAGCCTCGTGCCAGTGCTTGTCCTTGTACGACAGATCCTGAAACCAAGCATCGAATGATCCAGCATCGATCCGTCTCGCGTTGCCGGCGTCGCAATTCTTCGCAGATCGCGGAGCGGCGAAAACAAGTCTCGGCTTTTGAATTATGCGATCGCGCCGAGCGAGCGGAGGAAAATATTGACAGGCGAGCGCGACATTTCCCGAACGAGGTCCGCGGCGCGCGTTAATCGAGGAAGCGGACCCGCGGATTCCGCTTGTCGGAAAAACACGACGATTCTTGTCGGCGATCGACGCGCTCGATGACCAAAATATTCGCGAGATCCGAGACGTAAACACGCCTCGCCGGTCGAGCGACCGTCGCGCGTCGAAATCGCGCGGGTTGCCATATCTGGATCGATTATAATCGCCGCCTCGGCGACCTCCGCGGGTCTCGCGCGTCGCGGGGAAGCGGTTCCCTTCGATCGGAAGCGGTACCAGCACCCCGGGATGACACGCGTTCGTTCGAGACGCGTCTCCCGCAGCCGCGGCTTCCGAGGGAGGACAACCGAGATTGAATTTCAGCGAATTTCCGGCGAGCTGGAGGTAGGAGAAACAGAGACGGCGAACGGCCGAGAAACGGAAATAAGCTCTCGAAGCCGATATGGCCGGCAGCACCTGCATCATCGTTTCTATTTCTAGGAATGAGTAAGTCGACGCCCATGCCCGCTCGCTCGCTCGCTCATTCGCTAGCTCGCTAGCTCGCTCGCTCGTTCGCGTATCGCCACCTCGACCCCGTCATTATACACGAACCGATAATTACCGATTTTTGCGCGGAACTCCGCGGACCGTGTCTACGACCGACACGTGCTAGTCGAGACGCAAATGTCTTCCGGAAACAAGCTTCTACGTGATGAGAACGGCCAACCCGGGATTTACGTGTCTACCGCTCAAGATATCGGGTTTCAGCGAGGATTTAACATTCCGCGGAATGGTACTTGACTGGAGACACTCGTTTTCCACTATACGTGATCACATTCTACTTCCCTGGCATGCTAATGGCATCGTAGACAAATTTGGTTTCGAAGAAACATTCGAGACACGCGCATTTCCATTCCAGTTTGAATTTATTGTAGAAATTGATTTACCGTACGAGTTCGTGTACGAATTCAAATACGATTTTATGTTGGAACTCAAATACGATTTTATGTACGAATTCAAATACGATTTCATGTTGGAATTCAAATACGATTTCATGTACGAATTCAAATACGATTTCATTAAGAATTCAAATACGATTTTATGTAGGAATTCAAATACGAATTCATCATGTACAAATCGATGTATAAATCGATGTACGAATTCAAATACGATTTCATCTAAGGATTCAAATACGAATTCATATACAAATCGATGTATAAATCGATGTACGAATTCATATACGAATTCATGCACAAATTGATGTAAGTATACGAACAGATGTACCAATTGATATATAAATTGTCGTACGAACTGTATGCTCTCCGTAGTAAACGTAAATTGCAAAGGAACGATAAGGAAATGGAATTACAGAAGAATGAGAGCTAAAGTGATTTTTCTGTTTGCGAGAGGATCAAATAGTCGGCTTGACATTGTCGATGGGTATCAGCGAGGAATGAAGTTATTGGTTTTCACTATCGCAAAGATACGTCCGCGAAGGTGAATCGGCCTCGAAGGACAAGACAGCGATACGATACCGAACGAAACGGAAAAATCGGCGTGCGAACGAGGCCGTTGAGTGTCGCTTATCGCCGAAACGTATCCGCGGTATCTGCGGACAATCGATGCGTACCTTCGAGTCGATACCGATGATTTTGTTGCACTCCTCGCAGCTGTTGGCGAAAACGCTCTCGTAGCACTTGATGCAGTAGGGGTGCTCGTCTCTGAGAACGTAGCGCTGCCCGGTCAGAGACTCGTCGCACTGCCAGCAGCAGAAATGACCGCTGTGCCAGTCCTTGTTCATCGCCTTCGTGTACTCGCCACTGAAAATCAACTGGAAAAGAGAGGAAAAACGCGCCGAGTTTAGACAACGCTGTTCCGTGGCTAATAGATCTCTCGGAACCCTCGTTAGAGACCCGATTCCCCATTGGATTAGTGACAAATTCGATCGTGAACACGGTCCACGTTTCCGGGACGGAAAGCTCCTCGGCGACGATTCGTCGGCGGCGTTAAACGCGCGCGTGCGAGCGATCACACGCGTTACGATTCGTACAAACAAGGCTCGACGAGCTTCTAGCAGCGAGAAACTCTGACACGCTCCTCTCGCAGCATGCTTCTCGCACGTTTCCGGCCGCGATTACCCGAAAAGCTCCTCGCGATCTCTCTCTTTTTTATTTTCTGTAGTGTTCCAAGCGCGGTTCTCTGGTAAATATGTACCTTGGTTGAGTGCTGTTGTATGTGCTGGCTGAGTATTTTTTGTAAGGGAGCATATAAGATCTATTCTGTGGCGTGAGGCATGTATCGTCGCGTGGGTTGATCGCCGCGAGGCTTTGCTCTCCTGCGAGAGAGGAGCGTCTCGAGGGAACGAGCGGCTGCTCCGCCACCCTCTGGATCCCGAAATCGGCGGACACGATATGATTCCCCTCGACAACAAAAAATAAAGCGAACACGGAACGGACAAAGATTCCGGTATCGTTTCCCGGCGAAACGAAAAATTACGGGAGACGTTTTCGGGTCGACGAGACCGGGAAGTGGGGGCGACAAATGGAGAAGAGAGCTTTCCTCGCCAGGGAAAGTAGGTCGCAAACAGAGTGCTCTCGGGTTGGACAGCTTGTTTTCGCTGTTGCCAAAAGGGAAACATCGATTCCGGGGCGGTTCTAGGCGACTAACACCTACGTAAAACGTTCTGGATCCCCTTTAGACCGAACCATTTCGAAATGCCGGCTTCGACGGAACGTCGAATTCACGGAACGAGCGGCCGGTAGTTCTCGATCCCGATCTCGGTCTGGACCAGCCGGCGAGAATCGCGATCGTTCGGGTGGCGAGCGTCGATCGTAAGCGGAAGAATCGCGCGAGGGGGGCTGATACTCGGCACATCTGCAGCCAGCACATACTCTTCGATGGCGTGGTGGTTCTGCGTGCTGTCGACCTCGGTGATCGTGACCTCGGCGTTCTGATCGTGGCTCTCCCTGCGCTTGGTCGTCTTCTTCACTTTGCGAACCTTGCGCTCGGTGGTCGTGTACACTACACTGTCTACGTCCGCCATCGTTCTTCGGCCTGGTCTCTCTGTTCCGGGATACTTTGCGATCTCGTGAAGGCTTTGCGTTCGGTCACCGATCGATCGCGATCTGGACAACTAACTCTGCGGATCCGTGCACCGAGGGAAACCAGGAGAGGACTGACCGGGTCCAGGGGACGTTGGGGACCACGAGGAGAGTCTGAGACTGTCACACACGGAGAGAGAGAGACAGACAGACGGACCGAGAGAGAGAGAGAGAGAGAGAGAATGGCGGCGGTGGTGGTGGTGGTGGTGGTGGTGGTTTTCGTCGCTATGGAAATGAACGAGTGGACGATGGAAACCGAAGCGGAGCGTGCGACCAGAGAGTCTTCCTTCCGTGTTAACCCAGCAGCTTTCGAGCTTGCGAACCGACTGAAATCTAGGATCGGCCCGCTCCGGGCGTCATCATATCGGGACGCTATTTTCGGCGTCCCGACGACTCCAGAAACGCGCCTCGCCGCGTCGCGTCGCGTCTCCGCCACCCTCTTCTCCCGCCGACCCCCTTCCGCCCCGCGTTTTCTCCTCCTTCTCCGAGATTCTCGATGCAGTGTGCCGGGTGCAACTTTTCTACGACACCCCTCTCTCTCTCTCTCTCTCTCTCGCTCTCCCTCTTTCCCGCGTTGGTTCACAAATTCTCGGCCGCGTCTTCTATCCGAGAGACACCGATATACCCCCCCGGCTCGCGACGGGTTACAGGACACCGTCGAAGATCCCTTCTAAGATCCATCCTTCCTCCCTTTTTTGACGGTGTCGCTTCCCTTCGGTCTCTCCTCTCCTCCCTTTCTTTTTATTCGACACTTCTGGCCGCGGGTATTTCGGGACCCTGACGTCGCCTCTCCTCTCGCCGAGACGAGAAACAGAGGCGAGGTGCGATTCGCGGATTCCAGACCGCGATCGACGATCGAGAGCTTTTTCAACGGACGGAGCGCCGAACGATGGAGGAGTCTTGGGGCTTGCCGGCTACGTGTAGATTGTCGCGAGAGTGTTCGTGTCGATCATTCACCGAAGACAATTTGTTTACAGGTGGACTGTGCAAATTTCCTAGCTCTGCTCATCATTTTTCTGAGGCTTTAGAGCCACGCGACCGTCAAATCGACGGACGTTGGATGTCTCTCCTTCTTCTACTAACGGAAAACAAGGAATATTTGTTCTTGCTTTCGACTAGAAACACGAGGAAACGTGTTTTTTTCGATGTTCGTGTAACTCTGGCCAGAAATGTACTCTTCGATTGTTAATAAATACCGTAATTTCTTCCCAATTCGCGCTCAGATTGCGCACGAAAACGATAATAACTTAACTTCCCATAACTTTGGGAAGATTATTATTCGATTAAGAAGATTATTATTATTATTCGAGCCTTGCGTCTCGTTTCTATAGTTGTTGACGATCGGTAACTATAAAAAGGAGCCGCAAGCCTCGAGTAATCGTATCTCCTCTTCCCGAATTGTCCATTTTTGTGCGCGATCTGAGCGCGAATTCGGGAGAAATTACTGTATCGTCTATATTTCTGCGCGCTGGTGTCGCCGAAATTGTTTATCCGTGTCGCAGACGCAGATTATGGGAATTAGGTCCGAAATGCCAGATCCGGAGCCGAGAGCTCGCTGTATTTCTGTCTGCGTTTAATCGACGGGAATAATTCTCATTGTCGGACCGGCTGGCGCTTCGGCACAGAATAGAGCGATAAACATTGTTCACGGACTATTGTGGATCGTTTATGATTCGCCGAGGTCGCGGGACTCGAGATCCGAGCTCTCGAATCGGACTCGAGATCCGAGCCCTCGATTCGCAGCATCGAATCGGCTCGAATCTTCTTTGCACCCGAAGCAGAGGCTGGATCGAAGGCGGTGGATTGACAACGATCGAAAAGGTTTGTCAAACATCGACCGGTTTCCTGAAACATCGGGGCGTCTGATGCGACGCCTTGATCGCGTGCCAAACAGGTGGTTCCCGGTTGGCGCGGGGGTGGCAGGCCGCGAGTGGCGAAAAATAGAGAAGAAATCCACCGGTGTAATTGGGTCGGAATGTTTCACACATCACCAATACCTGCGCGCCCACCCGCTCGCCGACGCGACGCCTTCTTCGCGATACCAATCCCGCCCTTCCTCCCCGCGTCCGCGATCAATTCGACGAATCGCTCCCCGAAACACGCTGCTCCAAAATAAACTCGTGTCCTCTCTTTCCATCGTGACGTTTATCATCCGCGGTCGCTGATTGATCGTCTCGCGAAAGATTTATTGTTTGCCGGCGACCACCGATTCTCGCGAGTGGACGTGACATTGGCATGAATCGCATGAATCGCCGCGAAAACGAACGATATTAATGAAGCCGAGAATCGGCGTTCCTACTACCATCGTAACGACAAAATCTCTGCGATCGAATAAATTGTTTCGCGGTTTCTTTAATTCACTGAAATTGACAGTTTCGCGATTGGGCGGCGACCGGACGAAAAGTTCGGCTGAATAACGGCTTATGGTTTCCAGAATTCTGCCGCCGAAATCGGGAAGATTCTGCTATTTTTAGGTATGCGAACGCAGTGAATTCTCCTTAATTAACGCTCAGATTGCGCAGAAAAATGGACGATTCGAAAAGAGGCGATACGATTATTCGAGCCTTAAAAACGTGCCGCAAGGCTCGAGTAATCGTATCTCCTCGTCTCGAATTGTCCTCTTTGGTGCACAATCTGAGCGACAATTAAGGAGAATTTACAGCAATAGACAATGTTACATCTCAGTGTGTTGTTTACAGTCATTTGTTGCTCGGTGTTTCGAAAAAGTAAATATCAGTAATGCGAATAGAAGAAAAGTTTTTGCAGTAAAATGAATGCGACGAATAGACTGCGGTTGTTCGTGCAAAATAGAAATTTTCAAAGACGATCGTGCGAAACAGAAATTAAATTAAAGTGTTTCTTTTAATAACTTCGACAAGTTAACAGTAACGTAATCAAATTATTTCACTCTTATATCTTCCCAATAAATGCATTAAATCTTAAACCAATGAATCGATGAATTTCTGGCTCTTGTATCTCGCGATTATTTACAAAGCGAGCTGCCTCTACGGCCAATCGATAATTATCCTCGTCAGAAAGACCGAAATCCTTCGCAGTTCTTTGAGCCAAAAGCCACAAGGATTGCGCGGACAGAATGCGGCGATTGGGATCGTCGAAAGATTTAGAACCGGTCCGACAATTTGCGAGACGTGTTTCTGCTAAATCCGTTGAATATTTTCTTACATAGTAATCGCGATCACGCGATGTATCGTTTCTCCATCGTTGCCAGAATACGCGAGGAACGCCGGACCCGTTATAAATAGCTGGAAAATGAAAATCGCCCGTGACAGGAGAACGCGATCGCCCACGCGAATCGAGGATCGCATCGGACGGTAACATAATATCGACGAAGGGGTCCGGAAGAGGCGCGCGTCGCCCGATTAAAAATACAACCTCCGGGAAAAAGCGGGTCGACCAAAAAAGAGGGACACCGATGCCGGATCCCTGGATCGCAGTGGTATAGCACCGATTATCCTCCGGCGGGACTTTGAACCTCGACCAAACCAAGATTCTAATCTGTTCGTCGAGCTATTTCGTTGAAACCATTGGCCTGCAAGGTCCCAACTGAATCGAGACTGCAAACGTAAAGTTTATCGAGAAGCTTCAACAATTTGCATACCGAGATTATTTTAACCGGTTAACTGTGGCGATCTCTTTGCAAAGCGCCCACCAGCGTGCGTCGCGACAATCAAGCGATGACGAGTTAGCTCTCGGGAAGTTATGAATCCAACTCAAATTATTTATAATTTTCATTTGTTTGTTTCACGTCGTCTTGACCTCTAAGCATTTTAAACATATTAAAATTTACGAATATGATTTAGTTTTCGCCAGAATTACAATTTAAATATCAAATTGTAACGAAACTTTACGAATGACGAATAAAATCGTCATGACGCAAAATTCTGCCGCATCTCCACGACGGATATAGTCGTCAAACACGCTTGACTGGTTAAAAGCGCTCGCCAGAATTACAATTTAAATATCAAATTGTAACGAAATTTTACGAATAACGGATATAATCGTCATGACGCAAAATTCTGCCGCATCTCCACGACGGATATAGTCGTCGAACACGCTTGAACGGTTAAAATAATCGAGGATTAGTTCAACGATTGCTGATCCCGAAGAAGGGGTTCGCCGAAAGAGGATCTAGACAAATTTATCAAAAGTTCCGAGGAGTTGGGGGATCGATCGCGACGACGTAAATCGCAAAAATTCGGATTCCGCGCCGCTGCACGGAGGGAAACCCTGCCGAAGTGTCCCCTCTCGAGTAAACGGCTCGCCTCGACCGCGATATATGCGTATATTATTTGCAGACGGGCATGAGATTGATATTTTGGGAGACCCCACGCGAGCCGCACGGCACCAATAAACGCCGCGGACCGCGAGACTGTTTCATGAGAACATCCGCCGGATTTTCTCGGCCTGTCGCGGCTTCATTTTTCTTTCCCCATCCGTGGAAAATCGGTTCCAACAAGTCTTGCCCAACTTTAGATAACAATAGCAGGCGAGCGAGACCACGCGCGCTGGGCGCAGCACCATGCGATCGCGAGCCTCCCGAGCCAGCCAGCAGTTTTTCATCGTTCCGAGCCGCTGACGAGCTCGGACTAACCAGAGGCCAGTTGAATTCGACGGCGCGGTACCATGGTCGGAGATGATTCCACGATTGGTTCGCGGTGCCGAGGACCCGGAGCCTTGTGAGTATTCGACAGAGCATAGGTATTTAGCGTGTCCGGCAGGTGCGAGCAGGTGCGTGACACACGGTGTTATTTACAAGAACGAGAAGAAGTGGATGGTCGAGCGAGAAACGATCGAACGAAGGGAGAAAACGTGTAAGCGTGTTAAGCAATGCCCTAATTAGACGTCGCAAGAGACCAAAATCACCGTTGCTTGAACGCCCGACGCGGCTAACAAACAAACAAAACACATTCTACGGCTGCGTCCAAATTGGCAACGCGCGCGGCGCGACGATGATGTATTCGTCGGTTGCGTTGCTTGAGATTGGAACTTTTGTTCGCTTTTTGCAACGTTTGTAACGACAATGGACCATTTCGCGGAGTTATCGATTTTCGGAGCTCGGAGAGGCTCGATCTACGATCGAATAAATTGTCATCTTCACCTACTTGGCAGCAACCGCCACCGTTGGGATTTCTCGACGTTTGCTTCAATGTACTCTGTTTTCTATAGCTTGTGTTTACAGGCCACGCGTACGTTGCATAATTATTGTCATTTAGAGAGAAAGCGACCGGAAGACGTTCGGAAAGCTGACCGTGAACTTGCGATCGACGTTCGGACAGACGATTGCAACGCCGAATTAGGACACAGCCGTAAAAAAGAGAACTCCAACCAAAATCGGGTCTAATTCGACGGGACTCTCTGCACCTGTGGGGTCAAAAATTCATTGTCCACTTTTTCCAGGGTGCCTGATTCCTCGCGACACGATCCAAGTGGGGGCAGTCGCCATGATTAAATGCCGGCACAGTGTTACGCCTAAGAGTCGAGTGGTAGTCGGAGTGTCGAATCGTGTCTGTTTAAGGTATGAGTGACAAAAGGGGGGTCGAGATGTCGTGCTCGGAGAGAGACGGGAGGACCTTGGTTGCGTCATTACCCAGAAAGCTTTGTTCCGATCGGTATCCGAGATCGTGTACTCTATCGGTCCTGAAGCCGCACTCACATCCTCGGCGTCCCAGTAGTCGGTGTCCTCGTCGTGGGAGGAGGACCAGAAACCCTTCCGGGAGTTCTCGTTGTCCTCCGGCCACGGAGGCTCGGCCGGTGTCGTCAGGATGTCCCGGATCCTCTCGTAGTCCTCCAGCTCCGCCTCCTCGAAGCTGGATATTCTGAGGAGCCGCGCGGTGTCCTTGGCACCCTCGACGGAGGTGCGCGCGTTCGTCGGCCCGCTGGTAGGCGCGACGGCTCTGTCGTCGTCGGTCTTATCCCTGGACTGGGTCCCGAATCTTCTGTTCTTGAAGGTCCTCCGATTGAAGCGATCCCGGGACATCAGGTCGCGCCGGCTCTCCGACAGTCCCAGCACCGAGCTCTCCGCCGGCGGTTCTTCGTAGTCGGACAGAAGCTCGTCGAAGCTGGTCTGGGTCAGCACCGACACGCTCTTCCGGCTCTCGGACCTGGACAACGCTGGACTGCCGAACGGGGAGGTGTTGGTCGACTCGTCCCGGAACAGCCGTTGCATGGAGATATCCGATTTCCTCCGCTCTGGTTCCCGGTGCCTCTTCGATCGCCTGCCCGTCAGGTTCTCGGCCGATTTGCTCACCTCCGAGGTCTTCGACTTCAGCCTCGTCGGCTTCCTCACGATCGTGCTCGACGACTTTATGTTCCTCTTCCTCTGGCTCACTCTGGCCCCTTCGGCTGGAACCTCCGACCGGTTCTCCTCTACCAGGACGTTCTCAGTGTTCGCCGACTGCTCCGCGAACCCTTCGAAACCGATCGATCCCTGAATCGCCGCAGGATCGGGCGATCTCGACTTCCTGAGCTGCTTCCTCGAAGCCCTTCTAGTTTGCTGGCGAGCGTCCGACTCGTCCCTGGAGGATCCTCCCTCCGAGGGACTCTGGCGTCGCTTGACCAAGGGCAGCGAGTCCAAGGTCTTCTTGGTCGGCGCTTCGTTGCCGGAGTCGTTGTCGAAGGACGTGCCAACGTCGCTGGAGGCGTCGGAGCTCGAGTACGTCTCCGTCACGTTGAAGGGTATCGGCGTGGGTATTCTGACGTACCTATCCGGTTCTGGAGTTGTCAGAGACAACGGCCGATCCCTCGAGCTGCTCTCGACTCGCAAGTTCTCCCCGGCGTCCTCGTAACACGTCTCTCCCTCGTACTCTCTGCCGTAGATCTCCTCGATCTCCACGCTCCGATCGTCCCTCTCTCCGGATTCGCTTGCCTCGACCAGGTAGTCGAAGTCCGGACTCAACCTGGAGTCCGGAGTGCATCCCGGGCGCAGCAGGAACTCCCCGGGACTGTACTCCGAGAGATAATCGAAGTTCTTGTCCTTGGATCTCAGCTCTGCCCTGATCCTCAAACTGTACTCGTGCAGGTTCTCCAGCTTGTGCTTGGCGCCACGAGGCAAATTCGCGCTGTCCGAGTGGCTGTAGCTGCAGATGGAGTCGTGGGTGCTCATGTTGTCGACCGGCTCGTGGTACGACAGGCATGGGGTCGCCGGCTGATTGATCGTGATGATCACTCCGTCGGAGACGTGTCTGAGGCACGCGAGCAGCTCCAGCACGCCGACGCAGCCGATCAGCACGGACATCATCAGACCCATCGCGACGGTTGCTCTGTCAGACTCTAGCGAACGATCCACGGGAAATCCTCGTCAAGGATCACTGAACCATTACCCATCACCTTCTTGCCATCCTATCTCCGCGTTTCCATTCTCGTTTGCGATCTTCTAGATGTATATGATGAGGAACATCACGGTGCGGGGCTCCTCCTCGTCGAAGAGCGTGGGGAACTTGAGCGTCCTGCGAGGCCAATCCATCGGGCGTCCTCGGGGTGTCACCTCGACGGATCCTCTAACGCGGTGACGTCACTCGAAGGAAGATGGCAAAGGGGAGAGAGAGAGAGCGCGGGAGATAGAGACAGAGAGAGAGAGAGAGAGAGAGAGAACAAGACGGATGGATAGAGGAGAGAGACACGATCCTAGGGGGGGCACCCACCACCCACGCGCGGCCACTTCTCTTCACGGTAGCGAGAGCACGTTTCAGCACACGGTCGAAGGTGTCTCGAAGGTGTCTCACCTAACCCCCGTGACTCGTCGTGACCAGGCTGCCACCCGAGGGGCAGAGGTATCCCGATCACGGAGACGACAGTGGCGGCGACGGAGAGGCGACGATCACGCGATGATTATCGCTGGTTATCCATGCGGCCGGATGGCGGCCAGAGAACTGTTTTATTTTCCGCGGGCAAAACCGTTCGGACACCGGGGCAAACTGGTGGCCGTTCGGCTCGTTATGTCGACGTAGCAGACTTCGACTCGGGCTACGGACCGCGTTGAGGCTAAGGCTAAAGTTAGCCCGAATGTCCCTGGACGCGAATCCCTGTCCTTAATGCCGCGTACGCGTCGCGATCGATCACCGGCCGGCCGGATAATTAACGCGTCCCGATTTGGCAATCGTCGCCAGCCCGTGCGAGACGTTTCGACCGATTATTGGCTGCCCCCGCCGATCGACGACGTGCCCAAGCGACGCCTCGCCCTAATGACCCGATCATTGAACGGCGTCCCGCGCGTTTTCGTTCGACGCCGCGCGTCGCGTGGGCGGCCCCGATATTTCCACGTCGCCGCGAGACGAGACGAGACGAGACTTTGGCAGCTCTAGGAAGATTCGCCTCCTCGGTGGAAACGCTACGCCTCTTGGCAATACGATACGTAACCGAATTCTCGCGAGCCGCGAAACCTGCGTATTCGAACATCGGATCGAAGCTGTTTTACTCGGTATCGCGGCTCCCCGATTCTCGCTGTTCTCTGCCGAGGCATTTCGAGCCGGGCCCTTCTGGAATTGCTTTCCAACGAGGACTGGTCGAGATGGACCAGTCATCCGAAATGCTGGACCATGGTTTCGGGCCGTTCGAAGGCGAACTCTTGAGACGGTTAATGTCGCGATCATCTTCTGGACCCGATGTGGAAATGCCGAGGAGGATTACGTAGTCGGCGATGGCCGAATTCTGGCCGAATTCTGGCGTCACTCGGGGGATTTTATTTCGGTTACCTCATCGGTTACGATTCTACCGGCGGGACCGATCTTCGATACACGTTTTGCGCGCGGTACGCATCTGGCGAGTCTCCAAACAGATATCGAGACGGCCAGCACGCCGCTTATCGAACCCCTCGATGATCTATATTCGCGGGAACCTAACACCGGTCGATTCTTCTCGAAAACAAATTCGCTGTTGTTTGTTTTGTCTTGACAAAATTTGCTTTCGAAACAGGCTGTCGATCTCCTCGCGACCTGGCGGGGATATCGTGTTCGCAGAATATAGGAAGGCGAACTTCGTTGCTTCAGGTATGCAGAACGTAAGTTTCTACGTCGTTCGCGAGCTATAATAAATCGCATGGACGCGCTTAAGCATTCTCGTGACTTGTCGAACTTCCGTTGACGGAAAGAAGAATTCGGGCGGTAGCGATTTGGTTCGATAGGGTTCGAAGAACTTTGAGGAATCGTCGAGCCGTGCTGGACAGGTTCAGGGTCGATGAATTTTTGCCAGGTTCGAGATAGTCCTGGCATTGGTGCGACGACCGCTGGAGCCGCGTTACTGAATGAACACGAGAGAAAGAGGTCTGCGAGAACTGCGGTGCCGGCTGCGTAATCATCGTCCGGACCACTCGGTCCGCGACCGTCGTCGTCGCCCGAAATAAACGCATCGTCGACGACCTATCGGGACGCGAGCCGAAATAAATCGCGGCAGTGTCCGTGTGCGGTTCTGGCTGGATCGTGGACACCGTACGGCAGCCGCTCCAAACGATATTATCGGGTCCGCGGACGGCACCAGTTGCACCTTCCGATGGATCGATGCATTTGGTAACGAACAAACGGCTTCTCTATGATCAGCCAGCTGCTAGAGAGACCGCTGCGCATTCCTGGGACATTGTTGGCAACCGCGTCGATAGTTTCGACTGCGGACATGTGGGTTGCAGACCTCGGGGCACTGTGAATATAGTCTGTAAATTTTTGGTCGACAAATTAACACGTTGATC